CTTGCGGAATATTCTGGTCCGGAATTTATACACTTTTACGCCAGAGAAACATGCACTTGCGGAAGAATGTAAATTTTTTGTCGTCCGTTTACAAATTCCGGAAACTGTCGGCCTCATTGCCAATTAAGCGAAATTTTCAGGACTTTTGAAGCCGAAACTTCTAAAAGTTCTGCGATTTTTCATTTCTATTGCGCTGGTTCAAACGTTTTTAATTCTTGGGTTTGAACAAGCACTTTCCGTGAAACGCCCATTTTTTTTACCCAAATTTGCATTATCCGCTATTAGTTTATACCGCAATCAACCTTTACTATTTTCAGAGTTTGCCAAAACCTTGCAATTAGCTCTTGAAGAGCATGGCTAGACACTTTCCAGACATTTTGCCACGCTAAACTTGCCAAGTCGACTATTCCTTTATAAAATGTTAATGTTTTTAAGCAGCCGTTGATCCTAACGTTTCGCTTGCAAGCCTGGATGGCATCTTCAACTTATTTGCTTCGGTTCCAGCAAGAGCACGCAAAAAACACCCCGAATTGAATTAATGCAATACGGCGCATTTCCCATTCAAGAACGTGGCTGGCATCGGATTTCTCACTCGCACTCACAGCAGATTGTCACGCAACAAGATGGCCTGTGTGATGCTACGTTCCAACCTGACACCTTTGCGGCTACTTTTTATAGAATTAACAACAGTAAAGAAATAGCGTTTTAAACGAGTAGAGCTTTATTATTGGGCTTTCCAGTGAAATCCTTTGACAACTATTGAATAAATGGCGATTTTCGGCGTTTTTCGACCTTCCAGCCAGGCCATGGTTCGCCTCTTTATCTGATGATGGCACTGTTGTCTCGCCGAAACGTTGTATAAAATAAACGATATGAAAATTTTTATTTCAGACTTTGACTGAAACTCCGGAAAGAAAAGAATATAATAACAATTCTCAAAAGCGTGCAGTTTCTGAAACCCGCTCATTGTTTTACCTGCACTTAAAAAGTCGAAATAATTCAGGTTTCAATGCGTCTTTGGTGATATTTTCACAATGTTTGGCGTCGACAGTCTTCTAACGGTTCTGCGATTTTCAATTGGCACCAAAAGCTGGTTCAGAAATTACGATTTTTCGGGCAAAAGCGTGCGGTTGCTGAAAAACGCTCATTGTTTTACCAGCACTTAAAAAGTCGAAATAATTCAGGTTTCAACGCGTCTTTGGTGATATTTTCACAATGTTTGGCGTCGACTGTCTTCTAACGGTTCTGTGCTTTTCAATTGGCCCCAAAAGCTGGTTCAGAAATTACGATTTTTCGCGCAAAAGCGTGCAGTTGCTGAAAAACGCTCATTGTTTCACATGCACTTAAAAAGTCGAAATAATTCAGGTTTCAATGTGTCTTTGGTGATGCTTGCTCTAAACTTGTCAACTCGCCTATTGATTGATAAGATGTTAATATTCCGGTTATTAAGCCGCCGTTTATCCGAACGTTTCGCTTGCAAGCCTGGATGGCATCTTCAACTTATTTGCTTCGGTTCCAGCATGAGCACGCAAAAAACACCCCAAATTGATTTCATGCAATACAACGCATTTCCCATTCAGGAACGTGGCTGGCATCGGATTTCTCACTCGCACTCGCAGCAGATGGTCACGCAACAAGATGGCTTGTGTGATGCTACGTTCCAACCTGACACGTTTGCGGCTACTTTTTATAGAATTAGCAACAGTAAGGAAATAGCGTTTTAAACGAGCAGAGCTTTATTATTGGGCTTTCCAGAAAAAATAATTTGATAACTACTGAACAAATGGCGATTTTCGGGGTTTCCAGACCGGCCAGCCAGGCCATAATTCGCATCTTTAGAGGTCTGCCTGGGTGTATTTGTGTTTAAATAAACCAGCAAAACAGTCTGCTGGGTGAACATAGTAGGCCACCACCCACGGGAGCGTATGCCTGCTTGTTTACGTTTCATATTTCCATTCTGCAAACAATGCGGACAAACGACATACGACGAAAAACAAAACCCTCCAGCCAGAAAAAACTTCCAAGTGGAAAGCTGGAGGGCTTTTTAGGATTTCCTTTTGTCCGGATCGGTTTTTGCCGACGAATGTGCGCTCCATGTACGGCAGCGGGCGGTTATGTCAGGGAAGAACGCAAAAAATCGTCCGCGGGGTTTTTCAGGGAAAACGGAATACTTGATGGCCGCTTTCCTTGCATGCGAAAATTGGCGAAAATCGGTGCGTTCACTGGGCGATTGTATGCCGCCAACAATGGCCTCTTTAAGCCGGGATAATGTGTCTCATCATACACCCCACATATCCATCGTCGGCAGAAAAAACCCTCCCCCATATTGTGTCGGCCGTATCACTCACAAAACAAATCCCTCTGTGCGCTGATCTGAGTGGATGGATGTACTTTCCATCCGCCTAATTAATATTCCCTATCCAGCGCAGGGGGCCTGATCCTAACTCTCCAAATTAAAATCGGGATAAAACCCTTCGCGAAACCCTCGGGGGACTATTTTGATAAAGCAGAAGGAATGCATGGCGTAACAATTCCACCGTACATGTGTTAACAGTCCCACGAGGGGGAGGCAAATCGGGTAGATTTCGAGCCCTCGGTGAATGGAGAAAAATCTAATTCGCATCGCACATAAACGGCAGCTTTCCACACGGGGGACTCTTAATATTCTGATGAGTTTTCCCGACGAAGAAAGGCTCAATTTGCGTTGCAATTTCCACGSAAAACAWGCAGAAAAGTGRCKGTTTCTTGAATGGAAGYGAGTTAAAAGTCCAAAGCTCATARGCGMGTRTCAGACCAACCGATAACTTCCATGGCAAAACAGTAAAAAATTACCGTTCGAACGAAACTGTTCAGTCGTCATTTGCGTTTTTAAACGAAAATATTGAGAAAAACTGATGGATTTTGGAGGGCAAAATTGTGTTCGGGACGACCGATTTATGCAATTTTGAAAATCTCCAAAAAAACGACCAATTTTCCACTTGCGAAGGCCAAAAACTTTCAATCTTACACATTGTTTTCTTTTACTGGATCTTCTTGGTTGGGGGTGGCGATTGCAAGCTCTGAAAATTTCTAAAGTGAGGTTGATAGACCCTGATGTTCCGCGGTAATTTTCCAAAAAAATGTTTAATTGTTCAAAAACCTCGCTCAATTTTGAGAAAAAGGATGAAAAAGTGGAATGGCAAGCGTCCAAATCGAAATAAGCTGCTGAAACCTGAATTCGCGCTTTATGGGGGTCAAATCTGGGCTCCAAAGGGGCCACCAGTGCAACCTTGACACGTTTAATTGCTCTAATCGTATTTTTTGAGAAAAAGACGCTTTTCTCAATTGTATTCAGGAAAAATTCCAAAAAAGCCTCGTTCTAGTCGACAAAAAAGCCGTGAAAATTGATAAAACTGTAGTTAAGTTCTATATTGTTGAGGCGGATTCATTTTTTTACAAACTGCTTGTTGGGCAATGCATACCCAACCAGCAGTTTGTAAAAAAATGAATCCGCCTCAACAATACAGAACTTAACTACAGTTTTATCAATTTTCACGGCTTTTTTGTGATTTTTTCTGAATGAAAATAAATGAAATACCCAACAAACAGTTTGTAAAAAATTGATAAAAACTGTCAATAAACGCAGTCTCCGAAACTGAAAAGTCCAAAATCAATACCGATGTTCACGTTTTCCTAAATAAACGAAGAGACTATGAATTCGAATGATTTTCAGCCGTGCACCATTGCCGCTTATATAAAAAAAACCTAAACTTCAATTTTTTAAATGGGGCACCCTGTATATCATTGCGTGTTTATCCTGAACGTAACGCGATTTCCATTGATAACGATTTGAAATTTTGGCTCGGAGTTCGGAAAACTCTGTGCCTGAGCCACACTTAGAGCAATTTGCTTCAGTCTTCCGAAAAGAGACAAAAACGACTCAATTGCATTTTTTAAATGGGACACTCTGTAGCAGTTTCCTATCCCTAAAGCGTGAAATTTCCGAAATCAGTGCAAAAATTCCATTACTTTGACGTGAACTGTCATAATGCTTGAAAACTGTCAGGATGCTTGAAAGGAGCTGTCATCTTGACAGTCAGCGAAGGAAAAAACACTGTCAAGTCACAAATTAAGAAAACGCCCAGATTTAACAGTGTTTCAGATACGACAAATGAGGAAAAGCAGGCAAAAACAGCGCCGTCTCCATCAATACAACTGCATGTAAACCGGCCTTAAAGCAATTGCATGCAAAAACCCACAGTGTCTCTCCAATCGTATTGAACTACGGCGCTTTTTTGGGGCCACAACAACTGGAAAAGCGCTTTGACTCACTAATCAGGTGGCATTTTATTAAAACACACGAGCGACTTTCGATTATCCGATTAAGCGTCGACGACTACAACAAAAAAAGCCGCGTAATCAATTTAATTTTCGCTTTTCCGAGCTGCTGCTAAATGCATTCCGATGCGCTCAGCTCGCTTAATTTACTTTTGCCGCATTTTCCAGTCCATTTCCGCCAAAAACTCCGAATTCGCCCGTAACACAATGTTTATAGTTTTAGCACGAAGCCGACGGAAAACTCCTTTGCCCAACTTCTCCCATTAACTAGAATTTTATTGGCAAACTAACAAGAAACAGGACTTTCTAACCTAAATTGGCACATCAACCACATCTGAAATACCCTTTCAGCTAGGTGAAATTCCGCGCAAGTAGGAGACGCTCCACAGCCCCGTTCACATCGCCAAGGCTAAAGATCAGCGCCTCCAGGTTGGCCTCTCGGTTCATAAACCCCATGGCGGCCAATTGGTCCAGCTGGTGCTGGTAGCGCAGCTCGGCTCGCTCTGCTTGGCTGGACAGGCTGGACAAAAATTGGGAAAACCCCGTTTGAGCAGCGGGTGCCGACCCGTCGGCAGGCGGCGCCCCTGCTGGCGGTGCTAAACACGGATTGTCCGGCTCCAACGGATTGACCATCAGCGTTTCACTCAGCTGCTGCAGGAGGGCGCGGATCGCTACCGCTACGTCAATATCCGCGCCCACTACCTCTTGCAGATGCTCCAACAGCGAGTGGTTCCAAGGGTTTGGAAGCGGATCATTATTCTCCGCCCCCTGCTGGACATTGTTGGGGTCGCTGTCCGCGTCCAGGCCAGCGAATGGGGGCGGCGCGTCCCGCTCAGCCGCTGCTGATAGAAGCGGTTCCTGCACATCCCGGTACATCCTCTCCAGGGCGTTGAGTCCCCCAGGGATACTCTCCAAGTTGTTCATGGCCCTGTCATGCCTCCTGATCACCTCCTCCCAAACAGCCGGGTTCCTCCAGCTTTCCACAGTCTGGCGCAGCAGATCGGGATCCTGCACAATGTGCCCGACTTCCGGATTGCTGTCCACGATCGTCTGCATCTGCGGAGAGTTGAGCATCAGCGATTGAACCCTCTCTGGCGCCATCAGGGGGCTGTTTAGCAGGCTGGCCAGCAGGTCGGCGATTGGAAGGTTCGGCGCAGCGGATCTGGGCGGCTCTGGGTTGGAGGGGGCGGCGCGCACCACCAAGTGCACCGTCTGGCCCTCCTTGATGTTGCAGCCTTTGAGGCTGCTGCCGCACTTTAGGATTTTGCCCCCGAAAATGAGGCACACCTGGTCGGGGTCTGCCTCGAACTCGGGCGCGATCAGCTGCTGGAAAGCCTTCACTTCCATGTCTTCGGGCACGTGGAAGGAGTGGCGCGACCTTTGCGTTTTGACGTGCACGGTGATTGTGGGGGTTTTTGCAGGATTCGAGCAACTTTCAGAGCTTGCGGCTGGCGGCTCATCTGCCATCGCTGTTGAAGTTGACGTTGACTGGTCGCGCAACCAGCAAGCGTCTAGGTATACGTCCTGTCGCTTCTATCGATTGCGGCGATTCGAACCATCAAATAAGCCAATAATACCGGTTTGTTGTTATCGAACGTATCGTTGACAAGTTCTACAAATGAGTTAAGACGATTTAAGGTTAGGTGGTTTTGTTTATTGTTTGATGATAATTATTTTATAATTTGTCGAGATAAACAACCGCGAGTCCGCCAATCACTTTTTTCTCATTCTCTCGTGCATTTCCAACCTTATATAAGCTCTAGATAAAAATGACAAACAAATAGTATCGTTCAGAAATTCATAGGTAAATTTTATACGCTCCTGGCTAGTAATTTTTAATTTTTTAAGAGGGATTGTTTGAATTTGTTGGAACAAAAATAATAGCATTGCCTTTATATTAGCACAAAGAAAGACAGTGATAATTATGAGTATTTCTTAATTCATAACGATTTACAAATGATTTATTCTGATCAACTTAAATAGGTATTAGATTTTGTATTCGTAGTAGTTAAGTAAGCAACTTAAACCGTTGAATAAATCTCCTAAAAAGTTTGGTTTATTGTATATTTGACCGTATATTGAATATCCTTACAAACATCGATACATTTGTATGGATAGTTTTCAAATTAGTAAATACATTCCATAGATTTATTTATCGGTAAAACTTATAATAAACATCACCCAAGTGGCAATAACAAGTAAGAGTGCTTATGACATTAAATACTAAAAATGTAATAAAAAAATGTTGTATTGTTAAAATATTTAAAATTTCTGATTACAAATCCTAGTATTTTATACGCCTGATATAATGAAATTAATTCACATAGTACTACCTACTAAAAAGTCGAACTACTATTCCACTTTTGTTGGAATAGTGGAAAAAGGCAATTATTTTCATGTGTTGCTTAGTTTGACTTGTTAAACAAAAAGTAAATGGAAACAGAAGATACCAACAATTATTTTGCTTAATATTTCTTGACTCTTACAATAGTAATTTTATTTTTTCTGTTACTTTAAAATTAAAAAATCGTTGATAATTTATTTTAATTAAATTTGCCCATTGCACATAGGAAAATAACTTAAGCCAACTATCTATTTGCTCAATAATACATTTTTATTATTAAAACACCCCATTTGGTGTACATAATATATAGAGTAACGTTAAAACACATCGTTAAGTTCTTCTAAATCAAACTTCAAAAAGTCCAATAATTTTATCAATATTGATTAAGTTAACACAGTCAAAGTCCAACACTATATTAATAAAATCCAAAGAGTTTACGGTTACAACAAAACACCGGGAAAAATCACCTAACCTTAAATCGTCTTAAATGATAACAAACCGCTAGGTTCGAATCGTCGCAATCGATACAATTGACAAGAAGTGCCGTATACCTAGACGCTTGTGCGCAACCACACCTGGCTAGTGCAGGAGCGCGTTCGATCACGTCGATGTCACTCTATCTACACTAAGGATTATAGGCGTTCCTTTCCTCACACGACAGAGTCGCCCTTTCCTTGTCTAATTCCGTTGGGTTTGCATGCGATTATGAACCAGCTCCTGACGGCAATTGTCTTCTACTGTCACTTTGACAAAACCAACGGTTTGCGTCTAAGAGTGTTTTAGACGGGAAATTCGTTTTTCCTTTGTGCGAGATGGCAATTTCGAGTGTACGGCGCTGAGTTCGTAGTCGAGCGCTTTCCCATCGCATTATGTCACCCCGCCTAACGCTCGAGCTGTCCGACTCAGCCGCCATATTGGACGCCATGCCGAGCGTCCTTTGTTAGCGGACGCCTTTGTGCAGCCGGCGCGTTCGTCGATCTAACGCTCCATCGGTGACAGTGGCGGCGTCAATTATTCACAAATGCCCAATTGTTCAAGGTTAGGTTCTGGCAAATGTCAATGTCAACCACATTTTCACATAGTGGTTTCTCGCGCATTGTGTGTGGTTGTACTTTACGCTTGACTATATGCTGCAAAATGCTGATTTTTGGTGAAAAGGGCTCAAATTGCCCAAACTCGAAACCAGTTTTGAACGGTTGCGCCCTTTAAACGACACTTTTCTTTATAATAATCTCAACCGCCCTGCATATGAATATCTATTAAATCTCTCCTTGGGAGGAAAGCTGTCCCGAAAAACCCCAAATGTAAAGTCGATTTTAGGGCAATTTTCCGAGATTTTCAAAAATCCACCGCGCCCATTTCCATTTTCACATTGAACAGGATCCCGGCCTCTTAGATTCGCTTTTGCGAATTTTCGTGACAAAGATTCGCCCTCAAAATAGCCCATCAAACCTCTAACTATTACGCAAAACAATCAAGCGGGCCTATGCGATTTGACACTGACTTGAGTGCTGTCAGAACTGTCACCGTCTAACCTAACCATTCAATAACTCCCCACTGGGTACGTCACTGTTTGTCATTTAATCGGACCGGTAACTTGGCCGCCCAAAAAGGGGGGTTGGGTGGTAACGGGGGTCGCCCCCCCTGAACTGTCAACCGCAGGCTTTAATTATTTAACCGTCAATATTGCTATTTGCTTCCGATTTGATGCCTGCTTTGGTGCTGCCGGGATATTTCATGCCGGGAAATTGGAAACGCTTCCTCTGATGTTCCCTTTATGGAATATGCGATGGACAAATAAAAATGGCAAATTGACAGCTCGATATTCGAGGTAAATTAAATGGCAGCCGAGCGGGGCGTCAGTTGGCAGGGCGCGGGCCGAGGAAGTTTTACATGGATTCCAGTGAGTCATTGTGGATTTGCGGCGTTGGGAAATACGGATTTTGCAGTAGAAACAAGGCGATTTTTCGGAAAAGTCCAGCCGTGGTTACTAGGCGCACGCTTGAACCCAAAGGAGGGGTCGTTTATGGAAAAAAGTGTTTAAATTTGGGCATTTTGCAAATGATTTAATGGGAGTGAATTCGCCCAAAGCGCAAAGATCGGAAATTTGAAAACTATCATGCGCATTATCTCGGGTGCACATTTAGTCAGTGCACTTGGCGCTATTTTGATTAAAATACATGTGTAAAGTAAACAGTTTGAACATCGTTTATTTCATAACGTTTCGACGGGACAACAGCGCCATCATCAGATTTAAAATTTACACAAACTCATGATTGGTAAAAATCAACGTTCTTTTTTATTATTTTTACCAATCATGAGTTTGTGTAAATTTTAAATCTGATGATGGCGCTGTTGTCCCGTCGAAACGTTATGAAATAACCGATGTTTCAAGACAAATTTAAGGTTTCAAGAAGGCAAAGACCTAAAAGAAGGTTGATTTTTACCAATCATGAGTTTGTATAAATTTTAAATCTGATGATGGCGCTGCTGTCTCGCCGAAACGTTATGAAATAAACGATGTTTAAAATTTTTACTTCACAGTTTGACTGAGACCCAGGAAAATAAATCAGAATTATGCTTAGTGGCTTAGATGTTTGGCAAAAAACAGTTAATAAGTTGTTACGTGGTGCCGCCCTGCCCGTGCAAAGGCTGCCAGATATCCATCATAAATCTATTGAAGGGCTAATAATCGAAAAAACATAAAGGTACATTTTCATAGTTTGCGCGAGGCTTTACATGGGGTTGGGATCCATGTAGAGAGGGCTTATTATGCGTCGGGTTTCGAAGGGCCTGCGTCTTTTATTTTTCGTCAATAGAGAAAAAAACACTGCCGGAAGCTAATTTCACATTTGATGTGCGTTCGACAAGGCGATTATTGCTTGCCGGGAGGCCCTCAGGCCCCGAACAATTAAGCGTTTGTTTCCGAGGAAAGAGGAAGAAAAACGGGCTCTGGATCGTGTTGCCCAGCCAAAAACAACGTCGCCCTTTGGCCGAGCATATTGGGGGATTTGGGGACCGATAGAATTCCGGAACATCAGGAGAAACTGACAAAATGGAAGAAAATTAAGTGCCCCAAGGGAATGGAAAATTGAGCCCGAACGTGAAACGTAATCAAGGGCCGAGAGCCTGCCGAATGTCAATACCTACACGGCAAAGGAGAAAGGCACTTTTTGCGCAAATTCTTCTACAAACTCTGTGCAGTACCGGCCGCTGGGCCCTTATTGTGCAGTTTTAAAGGCCCCCTTTGCGGCCGAACGGCCTCCATTGTTCGAAGGGTCAATATAGATGTCACACACGGGCCGCAAATCTTTGTTTTAACTTCAGGGCGTTGCCGACAAAGAGCCCGCCATTTTGCCCATCAAACATAAAACGTTGGGTTTCTTACATTGAAATTACGCGCTTAATGAAAAACTGGTTATGTGGTGCCGCTCCCGAACTTGGAAAAACGTTTCAGTTTGGAAGAATGGAGGATCGAATTTTTCCAAATGACCGGATACGTCAAAACTGTTTACGTCACTTGTCGATGGCGAATCGGTCGGAGCTCTTTGTTTAATTAGCTGGGCCGGGCGAGAATAATGCCCCGAAAGAAACGCTCGAATTCATTGAAAAACTTTTTACAAATCATAATAATGCAGGCGAGTTTCGGCTACTAATAATTCCGTTATTTCAAGTGCAGCGACGTTAAAAGAAAAAACTGTAAAGACGATGGGGCCGCTCACAAGTTTGTTCCAAAAAGTTGCCATTACAATTCGCAGTTTCCTGGGACAAATCGAGTCCATGTTTCATAAAAGTTCGCTAACAATTTCCCCGGACTAAATTCGACTAGCGAAAAAGCCGCCACTGAAATGGGGAATTTCGCAGGTATTTTCGAATTAAATAACAGCGGCCGGGCCATCAGCAGTTAATTTTGTGCAATTTTTTGGAAAGGGCAAATCAGCAACAGCGCGCCGTTGGCAAATTAAAACACTGCGAATCTTTGTTGTTGTTGCTTTCCATCAGTTTAATTCGATTTAATTTTGTTGTCCCCGTTTTTTGTCTAATGCGCGATTTCGGCTCGAGTTTTTTAGGGAAAATTTGCACATTTTGCGTTGAGTTTAGTCGCTTAATATTAGTTAGTAAAGCTCGTGTCCCATGCATCCGTTTGTACGATGATACGATGGTACGAA